CTCTCCTAAAAGCATTGCTCTCTTGACACTCTACCCCTCAGGTCAAGCCTAGCGGGAGTAAATTAAACCTACTAGATGTCAATCAACATGTGGTGTAATTCCCCTAGCTAACCAATAGAGTTGATTAATAAAATGATTGAGATATTGCATTTTGCCAAAGAAGCATTGCATGTTATTCACACATTTCGGAGTAGGGAACTTTTGAATGGCCACAAGTTTGTTAGAATTAACTTGCAAACCCTCACAAAAAATATGGTACTCAAGATAAGCTATGTCTTTGGACCTAAACATGCATTTCAACTGTTTTAATTTTAAACCAACTTCTTATAACCAATTTGATATCTTCCGAATATCATAGATATACTCCTATGTCCCTTCCAAGTGAATTAAGACATCATCGATGAAGTCAGTAGTCATTTTTGGCATATTATAAAGAACCACATTCATCATCTACTGAAAAGTTGCTAAAATATTGGTCAAACCGAATGGCATCACTAATAATTTGTACAAATCAAATGGTGTAATAAGAACAGTTTTGGAAATATCCTCCTTGCTCATCGGCACTTGCCAATACTTAGAAATAAAATTTAGCTTAGTGAGTTAACAACTTCTTTCTAGATGATCTAGAAGATCAAAAGGGTGAGGAAGATCTAAAATAATCACTTTGTTTAACAGATGATAATTAAAGTAGAAATGAATATTCCTATCAGGTTTTGTCACAAAATAAGGTTCACATGCCTAAAGATTCCATAACTTTCGAATAACAACATTTCTTTGATGTTTGTATGTAAAATCTTGATTTCCTTTAGTGACCAACAATGAACAAAAACCTTGATTAGACGAGCATCCCCAATTGGAATAGGATAACATGTTACAATCTTAACTTTAAATAACAGATCAAATTCAAATAAATCAGCATACTTTTTTATAAGCCAGTCAACCATTGTAATATAAAAACCATTGAAGGGATTTGAAGAAGGGAATGAAAGAATAAAACAAAAATATAGGAAAAGTAATAAAAATACAAAAATGATGAAAACAAAAGTAGAATAAAAAAGGACAAAGAGGAATAAAAATAAAAAGAATGAAAGAAACATAAGGAAATATAATATAAAAAGGGAAAAACCTCAAAATCACACTTAGCATAATTACACTATAACTAATCCATACCAAAGATGAGTTGAAAAGGTTGACTTGGCACCACTTATAACAATTAAAACTCAAATTCAAAACTGCCCATAGAATTCATATTGAAATAAGACAAAAATAACATTTTTATTTTTTGGTTTGCTTAAGCAAACCTATAGGGGACAAAGATGGTAGTGAATATACCTAGAATATGCTTGGATATTCTAGGATATTCTACCATCTAATGGTTGGTATTCATTTAGATTAATTTGGTATTTATAATTTATAAACATATTTATAATTTATAAACTTTCTTAAACCCTTTCTAGTATATTCTTTTTTATTCTATCATCTAATGGTTAATATGCAAATGTAGACATTGGCCTGAACACAATAGTGCTCATCCCATGTCCAAATTCACAATCTAAAGCCAATAAGATTAATCTTGTGTTTATAAATTACAAACATGCTTATAATTATAAACTTTATTTGATCAATTAAATTAATAAGTAATAATAAAACTACCATTAAGCAAACCAAGCAATTTATTAGAATGGTTGTTGCTTAACAAAAAGCATATTGAAAGAAGACAAAAATAACATCTTTATTTTCTAGAAGGGTTGTTTCTCACCGAAAGGCTTCCGAAGTTTCCATTTGAAGTGTATATAAGGACACTACATTTCCAAACTTCCATGGAGCACATCACAGCTTTTTTCGCCTTCTTGGCTTCTTTCTTCTTGGTGATCTTCTACTATGATCGATCTAAATCACGCAGCTCCCATGTCATGCCTCCAAGCCCCCGGGCCTTTCCAATCCTCGGCCACATTCCACTCCTGGCCAGCAATTCCCGCGGGCCGCATCTCATCCTCTTCGATCTCGCCAAGAAGCTCGGCCCGATCTTCTACCTCCGCCTGGGCTACACCCCCACGCTCGTCATCTCCTCAGCCAAGATCGCCCAAGAGATCCTCAAGTCCCACGACAGGACCTTCTCCTCGCGGCCATCGCTCACGTTTGCCGAGGCGATCCTCCCAGACGATCTCATCTTCGCGCGCTATGGCGCGAGATGGAGGGAGCTCCGCAAGATCTGCACGCTCGAGCTCTTCACCGCGCGCCGCGTGGGGAGCTTTGCGGCAGTGAGGCAAGTGGAGATGGAGAAGTTCCTGGCGATGCTCTCCCAGAATCTGGGAAGAACGGTGAACATAACCCAGGAGGTCACCGTCCTCACCTTGGAGATCATGCAAACGCTCGTGTTTGGGACGAGCCGGACCTTCGGTGCCAACGATTTCGTCCGCTTGGTCCACCAGGCGAACGAGCTGGGAGGGAGGCTACACATCGGCGATTACGTCCCATGGCTTAAATGGATGGATCTCTCGCTGCCCAAGCTGAGAACCTTAGCAACCAAATTCCATGCCTTGCTTCAAGCACACATTGAAGAGCACCGATCCTCTATAGCCAAGCAAGGACATGGCGGCGAGAGCTTCCTGGACGTCTTGCTCTCGCTCGACAACATGTCAGATCTTACCATCCGGTGCCTCATGCTGGTAAGACTGGGGGTTGACTTGAGTGTTGACTAACTCGCTGGCCGCTCTTGCTAGGATGCTGTGAGTGCAGGGCTGGACACGACTGCCACAGCGATAGGATGGGCTCTCACGGAGCTACTTCTTCATCCACAAATCTTTGCAAAAGCCCAGAAGGAATTGGACGACGTGATCCCTGCTAGTAGCACCATGGTGAGCGAGGCCGACATTCCCAAGCTCAAGTACCTCGGCGCGATTGTCAAGGAGACCCTGCGCAAGCACCCTCCGGCGCCACTCATGGTTCCACGCGAATCCACTGCCGAGTGTAAGGTAAGTAGTCTAAAAGGTTTGATCCTCGCTAGATCTCTGAATTTGTTATCAACGTGTATGAAAGCTTGAAGAAGCTGGCTCAATGATCCCAGCCAAGACCCAAGTGTTGATCAACCTCTACGCCATCGCCCGGGATCCAAAAATCTGGGAGAACCCTCTGGAGTTCATCCCGGAGAGGATGAGCAGCGAATTCAATGCGGCCGTGGAACTCATGACGTTTGGCTTTGGCCGGCGATCCTGCCCGGGGATGAACTTGGGGTTGACTGCTGTTCATCTCGTTCTTGCCAATCTTCTCTACAGGTTCAACTGGACAACACCGGATGGTAAAGAGGTGGACGTGGGCGAGGGGGTCGGGTTCACGCTCATGCGGGCTCGTCCACTTGCATTGGTTCCAGTTCTCCGCAAGTAGTCAAACATATTGACTAGAATAAACAGAGTGTGTTTATTAATTTTGCTTTGTGCGAAGGTTAGATTGGAAGCTCCCAATCTGCCATGATCCTGGTCCAATGGGCTTCCGTTCAGTTCTCAGGCAATTATCTCAAAAGATCTACCAGGGCAAAGATCTTGATTTCTTCCTCTCTCTAATCTGTTACAAGCTTTGTTTGGATACTAGGCCCATTTTTGGGCTCCAACATGTCAAACAACCTGTAAATGAATGGATATATTTAGAATATACTAGCAATGAATCCAGCTATGCTGGCCTACACAAAATTAAGTCTTCAAAGATGTTTTTTGGATTTCAAACTGTTCATGGTTGCAAATTTATTTAAAAAAAGAACAATGCACCAAGTTCCTTCTTTTATTACCATTACTATTTCCCGTCCTGCTTTGCTTACACTAACTTCTTATAGCTCTTATGTGAATTTCTCTTTAAGAGTCTAAAGACAAATTAGTTTGTCAAGAGGTAAACCATTACAAGGAAATGGCTCACATTTTTACACTTTACTGCTTTGTCCAATTCTAAATTTCCTTAGTAGTGATCCCATATAACATCATCAACTCAATAATGCTTTGGCAATAGTTAAGTCCTTAGGATTAACTTTTGCATTTCTGCTCAGAATAGAAAGACAAGTATTGCTTTGGTCATATTGATGGATTTTTAATCAAGGACTGAGCAAGCTTGCAAGTGCCTCAATTGCAGAGACATGGAATTGAAGGGACTCATGACACAGGCAGGAGCAACAATTCTCTGGACATAATTGTGGCTGCCAAAGCTGCGTGTTGGATTGATGAGACATCAATCAAGAGGATTGGCAGAAGGCTTGAAAAACTGGAGCTCTGATGACAAAGAGGTCAGAGGTTCCATTTCCAAATCTATAGGAAATTTTGACTTCTGATTGTAACATTCCTTAACAATTTCCTCAAGAGACTCTACCTACTGGCTCAGACCTGATTGAAAACTTTCACACTTGAACCTTGATGCATTGCTCATCCAAAGAACCAATAGAACAATATCATAAGTCCTTGTTGTCCAACCAACAGCATCCTATCAAAAAACTAGAGCACATGCTCATTCTCAATGAAAGACCAACTTGTAACTTCTGTGTTCTAAAGTTTTCCACATAAATTTTAGCAGTCATTACTCAGTCATGCTAGACTTAAAATGAAGAGAGAATGGTGGATTCTTGCCTTGAAAAACAGGGATTCTCCAGAAGTATATCTCAAAAAGTGACATTCTCTACCATGCTTTCTCGAAAGTTGGAAGTTTCTGCTATTAACTTCTCTTTAAAAATAAAACACGAATATACAGTGCTGTACCTCAGCTCTTACTACAATCATTTGACTGTTGCTTCTTTGAAAATATGAACCAGCCGCTCGCTGTCGGGCACACCTCCAGTGCTACTAAGCTCTTCGATTGCATCTCCCAGCGCAATGCTGCGACCTGGAACATGATGGTCCATACCTACGCCTTGTGACTCTTCTTTGATCAATGCATTGGTGATCACATTTGCCAAGAGCCGCTGTGCAGTGGAATTTGTGCAATCTGACATATAGAGCTCCAATCTGAAGAAGATCTTTGATTCCATGCCGGATCATGATGTGGTCTCTTGGATCTCGCTCATGTATGCCAAGAACACGTTTAATTGGGTGTTGTTTCACGATCTTGTCTCGCAGATCTCGATGCTCATTGGATATGTGGCGGTATTCTGGATCCGCAACTGCCAGGCTATCTTGCTGCCTGGTGTCTCTGAGGCCGTGACATGGAACTCTAATTATCACAACACTTGGCAAGTCGAGGCAGTGAAATCGACCTTTGATCGAATGCCAAGGATCTCGTGTCATGGACAAATCTACTACTGTGCTACGTTCAGAATGGATTCCTCGAAGAATTGGGCATTCCGTCATCTTCCCTTCACTAATGCAGTGCAAATTGGGCATTTTGATGAGGCCATGAGGTTCTTTCACTAGATCCCATGCAAGACCATTGTCTGCTGGACAGTGTTCACACAAGTTTATGTCAACTTGGACAACCACAAAAAATTTGAGAGCATGAAGATGTGCAGCTTGGTTTCCTGGATGACCATGGTATGGGGTTATGCTCTAAACATGCATGACAATCGAGCAGTGCAACTTATCAATCTCAAGGGCATCAAGATGGAAAAGGTGATGTCATTGTTGGTACACTTTTGTTAAATATCAAATTGTTCTGGGTTCAATTTATAGTCATGCCTGTGACATTCACATGCTAATCTGCAGTGGTAATAAGGTCAAAATACATAGTGAATGAGACAAATTATTTCAATACCATCTAAACCACAATTATCCACAACAATTATCTCAACACTGTTGTAGGACAAGTAAATCAATCATAACGGCTTCAATTGACCCAACCATATTACGTCCTTTGTGTAATTTGATAAAATTTGTGACAGAAGATACATAAGAGGTTCTAGACTAACTTCTTCAATGACAGTTGAGTGACAAACTTTTAGCACATATCTCCATGTTCATCTATCATACTTTAGTACTGCTAGGACAACTTCAAATCCAATTATCTTCAACCACTTTTCTTTTGCAAATTGCTGGTACAGCGGGATACATCCACATAGTGATAGTTTCATTATTTGTGAAATCAGCCATATCAATTCGTAGTCGACTACCTCTGGATGTAGATGTGTTTTTTCCAAGGCCATAATAGTTAAGAGTATAGCAAGGAAACATTAGTTCTCATTATCATGTGTATATCTACACGTCTTCTATGGCCATAACTGATTTAAATCGACTGAAATTACTTGCATATAATTATTTTTACAATGCTCAACATCTTCATCAATTCACATCACAAACATAGAAAACATTAGTCAATCACTTCTACGTACAAATTCATCATTGGAACTATCATTTTTATCTTCAAAGAAACAAACATCACTTTTTTTTTTCTTCAGTTTCTAAGGGAACAAAAAAGTTCATGACATAAAAGAAATGCCTTTGAAGTACTTGATTTTTCGAGGTCCATCACCAATTTTAATATTGATAGTAGCATCATCCTTATTGCATTTCACTTGACAAGTTTTTGTCCACTCATCTATGATGTTTTGCATTTTATCTAACACTATGCTACTTTGACTTTTGATTGTTGCTTACTTGAGGGTTTGTGTTGCATGGTTGTATACATTGTCAATCCATCATCCTCTCGCCACTTTTATGCTTAAAAGCTTAATACCTAAATAGGCAAACATCATGTCTCTTATCTCTCAATTCCATCTTATGTTTTAGTTTAACCCTATCAAAACTCTTATTAATTAACAACAGTTAATAGTTGTGTTAACAGTGTGAAATAGATGTGGGAAACTAAAGAGATAGTTTGAATTGATTTAGCGCAAAACACTAAGTCAAACTCAAATTAGGTGGTATTAGCATAATGAAGCTCCTACAAAGCATGGAACTCATATGCTCATGCTTCACACACTTAAGGATATCTATTGTCACCTTTTGATCATCTCTCCAAGTCCTCATGAACTTTACAGACACTAAGTATAACCAAGAAGTGAATGACATTCTCTTGATGAACCTATTTGTATCTCATAGTAGTCTAGTTCGCTTGAGAAAGTCTGCCACACACAAGAGGTGCTCGCATGATAAGTCTATTATCCACATTCATATTATCACCATCTTATACCATACATGAGGATTATACAGAGTGGAAATGCCTAGAAAACTAGAAGCAGAAGCATCATCTCTTATTTCAAGTTTTTTCTTTCTAATCATCCCCAAAGGATATAAATGAAGAGTTAGTTGTGTCTTAGCACAAGGGTCACCACATCTATGATTCCTATATCACAAACACTTAAGAGTTGAATGGAATTGTTTACTTCTCACTATGGACAATCGATAAGTACAAAGTAATCAAATCCAATTCCTCTGAGATAAGAAAAACTTTCCCTAAAAAAAGCAACCACCTTACATACACCTATCTCAACCATTAAGCTTGGAAAGTATGTAGATTAAATATGTTTCTTTGCTTAGAAGGACTAGCAAAAGTCATAGATATGCCAGGAGTTTTAGTAATTTCAAATTTTTTAATAATTTTTAACATAATTATAATTATAATATACATAGTTAATATAACATAATATAATATTTATATAAAAATCCCTTTTACAATTGACCCTATACACATTAGAACATAATAAATATAACTTATAACATAATATAACATTTAAAACTTGGAATGCCAAATGAAGTTTTGAATCTTCTACTGAGATGAAAATGCTAGCTATAGGATCTTATGGTTAAATGAGTTGTTTAAGTGTTGGCAAATTTAAATGAGGATTAGTAGTAAAGGAATAGGTATAATTATGGTTATCTCAGACTCCATCTTAGACTCCATCTTAAACTCTATCTTAGGTCCATCTCAGACTCCATTTCAACACTTCCACGTGTTATGTGTTGGTCGGAAATCCATGATTGGGTTTGTTAACCAGTAAAAAAATAGAGATTACATATTTAAATTTGATCCTGTATATGATTAATTATAGTAAACTTGGACAATTAAATATTATGGATAAATATCTGAATAAATGAAACTTGGAGCTAAAACAATTATATTAGTTATAGTTACTGAAAAGATAAATTTTATATGAGATGAATTTAGAGTTAAAATTATTGAAGTGAAAGTTCCAAAATATTGAAATTAATATGATAATTTAAAGTATGTGTAGGAAATAATACTTAATTATTTGGATAGTAATTATTAAATTTACACATATTTATACAAATGGCAGGAGTATAAAAAATACTTTCAAGTAAGATAAAAGTGAAGTAGTGACATAATATATAGAGGATCCTCTAAAACCTAATATAAAGGAGTTGAATGGCTTTAGTTATTCCATTTTATAATAAAGTCATCAATGAAATTAATCATATTGATTTTAAGTTAGCTCAGATATTTACTTTATTTTAATTTTTTTCAATATTACAAATTTCTAACACTTTATTTTTATATTAATATTTTTTATGAAGTATTTTTTTAATACATAAAAATAATATTGTATAAATATGATTGAGATATTGTTACCATAATAGCTACATAATACACATCTTTAAGTGGAACATTGAGTCCTATCATCATATAAAGTTTTTAGTATTATATATCACTATAATTTATATAGAAACTTTAAAATTAAAAATTTTAAGCTTTAAAAAAATTATAAATTATAAATTATATCAATATCACTCTTGTAAATCTATAGCAGCCAAAAAGAATTCAACCAAATGAATGTGATGCAATTATAAGAGAAATTTGTGAAAGTATAATGTCAAATCTAGAGAATTGTTACTAGTTCGTAGATGGTTGAATGTCTTACATATGAGAATGAAATGGTATACCATCTCAAACTATGCCTACAAAAGAAGTAGAATCTCTCTTTGAATGGCAAGAATGTTTGTGTGAAGGGAATGTTAACTTGCTCAATAACTTGCCACAATATTGCAAAATACTATCTACCCATGGTATTGTTTTTTGGCACTCTAATAATGTATTATACTGATAAGGTATTGTGAATTGAAAATATCAAGGTATTCTTAAAATTTAAGTTTAATTGAGCTACCTTTGGAAAACCTATATATGCAATATAAAGCAAATCGTCCAAATCTATATTTAGTCTTGTTATGTCCAACATCTAAATTTGTGCACCATCCTATGCTGTTTGTATCAGTAGAGTTGGAGATAGCATATTTAAAGAGTTTGTCTATGATTTCAAACATCAATAAAGAGGAATCACTTGGTAAAAATATGAGTTACTTAAAGTAATTTATATCTCTACAACCATAACACCAGTTTATTTTTTAATAACCAAATTCCATATTCAAGAATTGGTGATTGATTTTCTTAAACTTCTTCTAGTTTGTAGTGGAGATACTAACACCCCAAACTTCCCCCACATAGGTGAGGAATATAGTTACCTTAGTCTCATAGTATCCTAATCATTTTGTAATTTTCTTTGGGGAGCATAGCATACATTTGTGGTATTTATATTCTTTGATTTAGATAAGGTGTTGGCTATTATATGTGAAAGGTTGAACATCATGTTGAACTTCATAAACTTATGGTTCAACTTGCCACAACACCTAATATAGTCCCTTTTACTGAGCAAGGAGCCATTTAAATATACCATTTATGATAAGACTAGGAAAATGGACTAATACTAAATCATTCACTTTGTACTCTGGAGGTGGATGATGATGGGAGTTGTAGTGCTATTGTTGTCCCACTTGTACGTAGCTCAAATGTTTAGTAGACTCTGCTTAAAAAAGTGTAAAAATATTCATCAAATATTAGTATTAGCATCGGCAGCTCATAACAATTGCGAAGGTAAACTCAACTTTGTTAGTAATATTAGATCATAGTATCTTTTATTACATCATATAAACTTCTATATGGTGAAGCACTAATAGAACTTTGCACCCTTGTGACATATATATACCGAATAGATAATAAATAACCATCTTAATTCGAATGTTGAAAGCTTATATACTTCACAATCATTCCTTTGAAAGTCCAAATGAGCCATTCCACTAAACCATTTATCTGTGGATAATACACACTTGTAAAAGTGTAGTGTATCCCTAATTAAGATATTAAAACATGAAATGCTTTAGTCATAAATGCAAAACCATTACTTGAGAGAATTTGCTTTAAACAGAATACCAAGTGAATCAAGTAGTCAAAGGCAATAATGACATATTCATTATCAGTAATTAATTGTGGAAAAGACCCCATTAGATCAAATGCTATGGAAATAAAATTGTAATTGACTCCAACCATCCTTCCGTAACACGAAGGAAAGTATTATGGACTTGGCACCAAACACAATTGCACATATATCAAATAACATCATATTGCATCTCCGATTAATAGAAAGACTTTTGTACCTTTTCAATCATACACTGATATCCCATATACCCACATAGAATAAAAGAGTCATTATAATATGGAAAAGGCATAAAATAAATATCATAAGTACAACTAGTTGTAAATGATCATCAAGATGAATCCCAACAATAAATAAAGTTGTCATTAAGGTGATATTGAGAATGTAAATGTTAAAACGGCAAGTCATTAATAAATGATGTAGGATTCTTAAACCCCTCACAAAGCTTTTGGATCCATAACTCAACCTTTTGAACCTCACAAACATTGTCAAGTGAAGATAAATTTTATTTTGCACCTTGTGGACACTAAATATCAAGTACATCAACTATTGATAACACAAAATCCTTATCTAGAAAATCCATAGGTGCTAGAATAATAAGCTCACCAGGAATTTGAGAAAGGGCATCAATATTAACTATAGAACTCTTTAGGCAATGAACAACCTTTAAATTGTATATTTAAAGCTCCAAAACCTACCGACTAGTATGACCAACCAAGTTCTTCTACTTCAATAACAAAGTAACTATAGCATGATCACCTTCTAATAATGTTCAAGAACTGTGCAAATATGTATAAAAGCTTTCAAAACTCTAAACTATTATTAAACATTCTTTTTTCGTTGTGAAGTAGTTCACCTTTACTAGTTGTAATGTACAATTAATGTACATAATAAGATGATACTTACCAATTACACTTGTATTTTTTTGCATTAAGACACCCTCAAAACCGATATCCAAAACATTCACATGCAAAATGAAAAGTCAAATGTAGTTAGGATATGCCAGAATTAGAGGAGTTGTTAATAGCTCTTAAAATGCTTGTTCATAGTCCTCAAACTAGATAAAAGATGATGTTAATGACTTTAGTAATGCTTGCAATAGTGCAATGTGATTAAAAAGATGATTAACAAAACAACTAAGATATTGCACCTTGCTCAAGAAACACTACATGTTATTCACACATTTCGAAGTAGGAACATTTTGAATGGCCACAAGTTTGTTAAGATCAACTTGTAAACCCTCACAAGAAATATAATACTCAAGATAAACTATGTCTTTAAACATGCATTTCGACCACTTTAATTTTAAACCAACTTCTTATAACCGATTCAACACTTTCCTAACATCATAAACATACTCCTCCTATGTCCTCTTCAAATGAATTGTCATATATCAATGAAGTCAGTAGTCACTTTTAGCATATTGTAAAGAACCGCATCCATCATCTATTAAAAAGTTACTAAAGTGTTAGTTAAACCGAATGGCATCATCAATAATTTATATAAACTAAATAGTGTATGAAAAATAGTTTTAGGAATATCCTTTTTGGTCATCAGCACTTGCCAATACTTAGAAGCAAGATCTAGTTTGGTGAGTTAACAACTTCTTCCTAGATGATCTAAGAGATAAAAAATGTGAGGAAAAAGGTGCATATCTAAATAATCACTTTGTTTAATGAATAAATATTCCTATCAAGTTTTGTTATAAAATAAGGTTCACATGCCTAAAAACTTCATAACTTTCAAATAACACCCTTGTTTAACATCTCTTTGATGTTTGTATATAAAATTTTAATTTGCTTTGGTGACCAATGATAAATAGAAACCTTAATTTAACAAATATCCCCAATTGGAATAGAATAATGTGTTGTAATCTTGGTTTTTAGAAAGGTTATTGCTCATATTGAAATAAGACAAAAATAACATCTTTATTTTCTAGAAAGGTTGTTTCTCAGCCAAAGGCTTCCGAAGTTTCCATGCGTCATTCACCATTTGAAGTGTTTATAAGGACACACTACATTTCCAAACTTCCATGGAGCACATCACAGCTTTTTTCACCTTCTTGGCTTCTTTCATCTTGGTGATCTTCTACTATGATCGATCTAAATCACGCAGCTCCCATGTCATGCCTCCAAGCCCCCGGGCCTTTCCAATCCTCGGCCACATTCCACTCCTGGCCAGCAATTCCCGCGGGCCGCATCTCATCCTCTTCGATCTCGCCAAGAAGCTCGGCCCGATCTTCTACCTCCGCCTGGGCTACACCCCCACGCTCGTCATCTCCTCAGCCAAGATCGCCCAAGAGATCCTCAAGACACACGACAGGATCTTCTCCTCGCGGCCATCGCTCACGTTTGCCGAGGCGATCCTCCCAGACGATCTCATCTTCGCGCGCTATGGCGCGAGATGGAGGGAGCTCCGCAAGATCTGCACGCTCGAGCTCTTCACCGCGCGCCGCGTGGGGAGCTTTGCGGCAGTGAGGCAAGCGGAGATGGAGAAGTTCCTGGCGATGCTCTCCCAGAATCTGAGAAGAACGGTGAACATGACCCAGGAGCTCAGCGTCCTCACCTTGGAGATCATGCAAACGCTCGTGTTTGGGACGAGCCGGACCTTCGGTGCCAACGATTTCCTCCGCTTGGCCCACCAGGCGAACGAGCTGGGAGGGAGGCTACACATCGGCGATTACATCCCATGGCTTAAATGGATGGATCTCTCGCTGCCCAAGCTGAGAACCTTAGCAACCAAATTCCATGCCTTGCTTCAAGCACACATTGAAGAGCACCGATCCTCTATAGCCAAGCAAGGACATGGCGGCGAGAGCTTCCTGGACGTCTTGCTCTCGCTCGACAACATGTCAGATCTTACCATCCGGTGCCTCATGCTGGTAAGACTGGGGGTTGACTTGAGTGTTGACTAACTCGTTGGCCGTCCTTGCTAGGATGCTGTGAGTGCAGGGCTGGACACGACTGCCACAGCGATAGAATGGGCTCTCGCAGAGCTACTTCTTCATCCACAAATCTTGGCAAAAGCTCAGAAGGAATTGGACGACGTGATCCCTGCTAGTAGCGCCATGGTGAGCGAGGCCGACATTCCCAAGCTCAAGTACCTCGGCGCGATTGTCAAGGAGACCCTGCGCAAGCACCCTCCGGCGCCACTCATGGTTCCACGCGAATCCACTACCGACTGTAAGGTAAGTAGTCTAAAAGGTTTGATCCTCGCTAGATCTCTGAATTTGTTATCAACGTGTATGAAAGCTTGAAGAAGCTGGCTACACGATCCCAGCCAAGACCCAAGTGTTGATCAACCTCTACGCCATCGCCCGGGATCCAAACATCTGGGAGAACCCTCTGGAGTTCATCCCAGAGAGCATGAGCAGCGAATTCAATGCGGCCGTAGAACTTATGACGTTTGGCTTTGGCCGGCGATCCTGCCCGGGGATGAACTTGGGGTTGGCTGCTGTTCATCTCGTTCTTGCCAATCTTCTCTACAGGTTCAACTGGACAACACCGGATGGTAAAGAGGTGGACGTGGGAGAGTCGGGTTCACGCTCATGCGTGCTCGTCCACTTGCATTGGTTCCACTTCTCCGCAAGTAATGAAACATATTGACTTATTAAAGGTTGCTCTTGCTTTGTTAAGCCTGCGCGCCATTTCTGGGCACCGATATTATGAAAATGGAAGAATGGATACGTTCGTGACCTACTGCCAACTCACTATATTGTGTGGCGTGAAATGTACTCAAATCTCTAATACGCAATAAAATCCGTCTTCCATTGATATGTTTACTTGATTTCAAAATCCATCAGTTCTAATTCTTGCCAATCCTCTGTAGAACTTCGAGTGGTGGTAAATGTGACAGGGTTCAAGTTGTTTAGAAGATTGGCAAGAACGAGATGGAAAGCATTGATGGATTTTGAAAAGCGACTCCTCTAGGTAAGCATATCAATGATTTTATTGCGTATCAGATGGTGGATCAGAATTTGTACATTTCACACTTCAAAATATCATTATACTGAAAATTTTCTAAGCCAGGCGCTGTGAAATAGAGGACGTCATCTTATGACATTCTTTGCCTAGAGTTTCGTCACAAATTTCACAAATTTTATTGACTGAAATAGAGGGCGAATCTAGGCAAACCGAATATGCTGAATTTTAGGGTTCTTGGCGAGAATGTTGAGCTCAGTGACGAGAGAATCCAGGCACCGCCGCGAGCACCCGCCGTTCTCCATCCCACTGCGAACGAGCGCCGCAGCATCACCCGCACGGCGCCGGAGCTCCGCGCCTCTCTCTCTCACCATGAGCTCCTCGATCGCTGCCACAATCTCCGTCTTGGTCACGGCACCGCCCTTTGATGTCGGGAGCGCGATCGCGGGCATGGATGCCTGCCTGAGCATCGCGGCTGTCAGCGTTTGATCGCCCATGAGCGGCCGCGTGATCATCGGGACGCCCGCAGTGATGCTCTCCATCACAGAGTTCCAGCCGCAGTGCGTGAGGAAGCCGCCCACGGCACGGTGCCCAAGGACGCGCGGCTGGGTCACCCAGTCGGTTAGCAGCCCGCGGTGCCGCGCGGTACACCCGTTGGTACCGCCATTTGTACCGTTGGTACCGCCATTTGTACCGTTGGTACCGTTGGAAATGCCGTGCTTGGCGGTGAATCCCGGCGGTATGTCCTTCAAGTGGTCGTGTCTCACCACCCAAAGAAAGGATACTCCGGTGGAATCAAGAGCCATTGCGAGCTCTTCCATCTGACCCACCGGCATTGGAGCCACCGTTCCAAAACAAATGTAGAGAACCGAGGCTGGATCTTGCTCGTCCAGCCACGAGATTACCTTGTCTGGATCTTTGGGATCGTTGTCTTGATCGATCAGGTGTAAGGGACCGACTGGAGTGACTTTGATCCCGGAGCTCTCCAGCGTTTTGATAGCGTCGTCCTCTAGCAGGCCGGAGGAATTAGCGAGGATCATGTCGGCCCCGGCGGTACGCCGCACGGTATCAACGAGAGACTCGATCATGAACTTCATGGGGAAGTTCGGATTGATCACGTTGGACAGAGTGACGTAGTCGCGGACTTGGAAATCCGGCAGGCCTGGAATCTTGATGATGCTCTCGGGATCTATGCAAAACACAGTGAGCTTCCTCTCCTTTTGGTTCGTTCACTCACCTTTTATTGCATTCTCCGCGATGAGCCGTGGAACGTGGGAAGCCATCGCCATCTCCAAAACGGTGGACGTCCAGAACGCGATCCATGGAACGCCCAGGTGCCGCGCGACGCGCTCGCCCCACTCCACGAGCACGTCGCAGATGACGCACGTTACCGGG